TATGCAAAGCATAAATACCTGCCCCCAGTGGGGAAGAACTGAATTCACAGCTTTACACAAGTTGGATAAATGATCATTCACACTAGGAAGAAATTCTGTAAACATGGTGATGCAGTCAGTTGAAGCTCCAGCTTCATCAAACAAGAAAGCTGCTACAATGCAGAAACCTTGTGAATGGCTAGGGTACACAGACAGTGGTGGCCAAAATATTCAAGGAAAGAGATCTACGAACAGAGAAAATCTCTCTCCTTCTCTACTGTTCACCCTGAAACTTCAGCCAAAGAGTGCTGGGGCACTGGAGCTGACTGCAGGATCTCATTCTGCTGGCTGCTAGAGATTGGCCCTAGCAGGGGCTAGTAACTACAAGAATTTCAACCTCAGCCAGAGCTGATCCTAACTTACCTTTGACGCTTACTAGGGGTGTATGCCTGTCACTTTTACTTAACAGTGACCCAACTTTCTAGCACAGATGACCTAAAGGGAGAATATTCATCTTGGCCCACAATTTCAGAGACTTTCATTACATCCAAGCAGAGACGACAAAACAGGGTATGTCTGACCAAGGTGATGGGGATGAGGTGGAGGCTCTTCACACTGTGGTAGACCAGGCAGCAAAATGAACTGGAATTAGGGGTTGGGTGTTACCTTTGAAAGCTCAGCCCTAGTGCCTACTTCCACCAACTAGGTCCCATCTCTTAAAGGTTCTGCACCATCCCAAAATAGTGCCACCAGCTAGAGAACAAGCAACGAGTCTATGGGTGACAGTTCAGACTCAAACCATAACATCCCACCCCTGAGTTAGGGATTTAGCTCAGTGGTAGAGTGCAAGGCCCTGGGTTTGGTCCTCAGCTCCAACTGAAAAAAGAAAAGAAAAGAAAAAATCCCACTCCGGCCATCTCATAATGCAAAATGAATTTAGTACAACTTCAGGAGTCCCTAAAAGCTGCAGGCGGGCAGCATGGAAATATTAGATCCAAGTGAGACTGAAGCCAGTGGGGTAAATGTTAAATCCTGTAGCTCCATGTCCAGCATTCCAGGCATATAGTGGCACCATCTGAACTTTACAGGCTCGGACACTGTCTTAGCTGGGGTTTCTATTGCTGTGAAGAGACACCATGACCAGAGCAATTCTTTAAAGGAAAACATTTCATTGGGTGGCTTACAGTTTCAGGGGTTTAGTCCATCATCATCAAAGCGGGACATGACTGAGTGCAGGCAGACATGGTGCTAGAGAAGGAGCTGAGAGTCCTACATCTTGATCAACAGGCAACAGGAAGTGAACTGTGTCACTGGGCATAGCTTGAGCATAGGTGACCTCAAAGCCACACACTTCCTCCAACAAGACCACACCTAATATTGCCTATTAGCTTATGGGAGCCCATTACATTCAAACTACCACAGGCATACCTACCCCTATGGTCTTCTCACTTGTACTATAAATGGATTCTCTCTTGGGCTGGCTTCACTAGGTGCCTGCAATTTTTTTCATCAGATGCCACACACTTATGGCATCTACATCTTGAGGTTTCTTATTTTTTACCTTTACAGTTTCATGCACTGGCCTCTCAGGGATTCACTGGAGGGTTCTGAGCTTGCTACATATACCTGGCCTCCCAGGATTTCCTTAAACATCTGGGTGCAAGCTTCCATGACCACAAAACTCTCATTCCCTGTGCCTACAAAATCAACACTATGCAGATGACATCAGGTTCCACTGTCAGGTCCAGTAGCATCCAGGCTCCCTTGGGCCTCTGCTGAGTTCCTAGATAGCATAACCCGGGAAGACACTTTCGTAGGTAGCCATGTTTGAGTGTGACAGCCTTTAAGCTCTATCTTTTAAAAGAAAAAAAAATCTTTCAGGGCTAGAGAGCTGGCTCAGCAGTTAAAAGTGCTCACCATTTTTGCAGAGGACCCAAGTTCAATTCCCAGCACCCACATCAGGTGACTTACAACACCTGTAACTCCAGCTTCAGGTAATCTGAGACCTCTGTCCTCTGCACACACACTGATGTGTGTGCATGCACATACACAAACACAAAAATAAAAATAAAACTGTAAAAAAAGAAAAGGAAGTCTTTCAAATGGTTTTTCCATTTTTTTTGCTCTGTATCAGCCTTTGATGGATGGAGTCTCACCCTCCAGGCACCTTTCCTATTGTTCCAGTGCGAAGAGTACAGTTTCTCTTCTATGGCACTGATCTCTTTAACAGTTATAGCCACTTTGTCTGCACTTGATTTGTCTGCAACTTTAAACAATCCATGTTCTTTCTCTAGCCACACTGGACTCATATCTTTCTGCCGGTCTTTTTGTTCCTGATTCTCACTGTAAACCTGACTAAAACCTGCCAGAACTAACCATGCCATGGCCTGTCTTGAAAGTTCTATCAAATGAATTAGTCTATTACTTTTCAATCCAGTCCCACTCACAATCTCAGGAATTAAACAGAAAATGGCCAAATTCTTTGCCACATTGAACATTGTTGTGGGATATTTGTACACTATGTGAAGCTGTGTCAGTGTGTTTGGTGTAATAAAGAGCTGAAGGGCAATAGCTAGGCAGGAGAGAATAGGCGGGACTTCCGGGCAGAGAGAGGAAGTCAGAGGGATGAATCTAGGCCTGAGACGCCAGCAGGACAGAACAAGTCAGACATACGGGACAGAGGAAAGGCAACTGAGCCACTTGATAAAATGTAGATCAATAGAAACAGGTTAATTAAGTTATAAGAGCTAGTTTTTTAAAAAACCTAAGCTAAGGCCAAGCTTTCATAATTAATAATAAGTCTCTGTGTCATTATTTGGGGGCTGGCAGTTCCGACAAGAAAGCTTCCTACAGAACATACTCCATTTCTCAATAGAATTATTACTGTCAGAAACCTCATGAGCTATCTTTACTGTCTACATCTTGATTGGTGGTGTTTTTAGTCTTCCAAACTTCCACCAAAATAGCCCATTGAGTAGAGCTTACAATAGTGTAGCATTTCCTTGGCCTTCGTCTTCAAAGTCTTCCTTATTCTCCCCGCGCCCCCCCCCCCAAACCACTTCCAAAGGCCTACTTAACACATTGCTAGATTTGGTCACAGAAATTACCCTACTCTGGTACCAATTTTCTATGTTAGTTACTTTCATGTCTCTGTGACCAAAATCCCTGACATAGTCAACTTCAGGGAGAAAATGTTTATTTTGGTTCAGAATATCAGAGAGTTTCGGTCCATCATAGTGGGAAGGGCATGGTAAGCAGCTCTATTCACGGTTGCTAGAACATGGAGTAGAGGCTGTTCACATCACGGCAGACCAGGAAGCAAAGACAGATTAGCCAGCCTCAGAGGCCAGGTGCAACCTTCAAGAGCTACGTCCTCCCATCAACTAGCTTCTTTCTCCTAGGAGTCCTGCCGCCTTCAAAGACAGGGCCAGCACCTATTGGTGGGAACAGGTGTTCAACACAGATTTATCTGTGGGTGACATTTCAGACTCAAACCATAACACTGTTAGCTTGGGTGGATCTAATACTTACTCTGAACCTCATTCTTAAATTATTAATCCAGTTATTTATCTTATTTATGTGTACAAATGCTGCACATTTGCCTGTGTGTATATATGTGTGCCTGGTGCCTGCCAAGGTCAGAAGAAGGCATTAGATCCTTAGAGCTGGAGTTACAGATGATTGTGAGCTACCAAGTGGGTACTGGGAGTTGAACCCAGATCCTCTGCAAGAGCATCAATTGCTCTTAACTCCTGAGCCATCCCTCCAGCCCCCGAGCCTCATTTAATATAAAATGAATGAATAAATAAATACCTCATTTAAAATGTGATTAACATTAGTAATTGCTTCCTGGGTGTCCTGAGACTTAAATGAGAGGACAAAGGTAAAGACTTGGTAAGAATACAGTGAACATATTGGCTTTTAGTTTGGCTCAGCCATTTCCCAGAATCCACAGCTCAAGATACCCCAAGACCATCAGTTGGGGTATAAAGTGGAATTTGCCTGCCACTGTTCGAAGGACGGCTCTGATACTATGGGACTTCTTTAAGGTTTAGGAGCTCCCAAGTGGCTAAAGAAAATGAAGCACAGAGTCTTCGCTAAGGTCCCCTGGAAGACATACGAGTGCTCTCCTCTCCTGTCCCCGTCTTCCGAGTTTCTTTGAGTATCAGATCTCATGCTAACCTGAAGAAGGCAAACCCAAGCAGAGGTCAGGCCTGCAGTTAGGTGGTCACAGAACTTCATGGCTACATCAGGTTACCAGAGAGAACAGCCTTTCTTTTGCAGATGACACAGGACTGTCAGATTCAGCACATCAAACAGACTGCTCAGTCAAAGTTGAATTTTAGATATACAACAATGGCAAAACGTTTTATCACAAGCATACTCCAAGACTGCATGGGACTTACTTTAAAATTCTAACTTACCTGGATTCCTCCTTGCCAGGGTTCTTGTGACAACTCAATCGCAAATACATGGACCTCAGGATTTGTATTTTGTTTGGTTGGTTTGGGATGGTTGTTCTGCTTTAGTTGTTGGTTTTTGTGGTTGTTTTGTTTTGTGTGGAACTAGGTACTGAAACTAGGGCTCAGCTAAGAGCCTCAGATCGCTCTTTCTCAAACTTGGATCCGCTGAGTATGTATAGGGATGGGGAGGATCCTGCGGCTTACCTCCAAATGACAGCAATGGACAGGCCAGACATTTAACCGCTTCTAAAGGTTGGTGTCTTAACTATCATCCTATTTCCAAAGGGTTACTTTACCCATTTATCCAAAAATGCTGGGCACGTTTTGTGTTTCTTCTGCTTTTATCTTGATCCGTGAGACACATGAGGAGCGGTTGGTTGTGGTGCATCCTACCCCATTTCCACCCCAATCCGGGAGGAGCTCCGGGCTAAACTCCTAGCCTGGCCCACAGAGCCAGACCCAGTCTGTCCCAGCTGATTTACGGGAACTCACACTAGTGATCAATCATCCTTAATTTTTAACTGGGCAGTGTCCTGAACCAGCCAATAGCTGAGCCTGGCCCCCACACCCCACCCTCGCTGACCCTCTGCGACTGTCCACTCAGTCCGCCCTGAAGCTGCCTAGTGACCAAGAACTTGGGATCAGGTTTTGTAATGGGGGCTTTTGGGGAGGAATACAAAGTCAAGAGGGCTTGGCAGGGAGGTCTCCAGCCCCCTTCTCCCCTACTTTCCAGCCCCTTGTTTGTTATCTCTGCCGTTTTCACAGGCCTGCTTCCTCTTGAACCTTCTGCCTCCTCCTCCTCAAAGTTGCGCTGCCCAGCTCGCCCTGGCCCTCCTCTCCTGCTGCCCCTGGCTTATTGTTTAGTTAAGCGGGACCCGGGAGATTGAACAGATGGACTGAGACCCAGGCGTGAAGGGAGAGAAGGGCCAGCCGGTGCCGGGAAAGGGAAGCGGTTTGGGGAAAACAAAACAGAGGGTGGAGCCAGGGAGAAGGTGGCCCCAGGGGGAGGAGGCGGGAACACACTAAGAAGGGTCGAGGCCTGGAGCGGAATGGGGGCGGGCCCGGGGATGGGGTGGACCCCCCTGAGCTCCTAAGGCTCAGGCTGGCTCTGAGGCTAACTGGCTTCTCAGGTCGCAGCTGACGTCGCTGCCCAGATGGCCTCCAGGCTGACCCCGCTGACCCTCCTGCTGCTGCTGCTGCTGGCTGGGGTAAGTGGTCCCTCTGTGAGGTGGGGGGTGGGGGGTGAGGATTAACCCTTCAGGCCCTGGCGAAGAAGGGAAACTCCTCCTGGGATTCTTAAGTTCAGGTCTAGCCGTTGCATAGGAGGAGAGTCTTGGGTTCTATATTGGAAGATACATTAGCTGGATAGCCTTGGGCTGGACCCTTCTCCAGGCTTCCTTAACCCAATTATATAAAAGGGAGAATACCCCACCCAGCTCACCAGCCGGGCTTGGCTGGGTCATAGAAGGCAAGACAAGCCCAAGTTGTGGAAACCTGCCTCCCCCCCTCCCCATGCTGTTATGACAGGCTCTTCCAGGTCACGGTCTATAGAAAGCCGGGTGCAAGGAAGAAGACTAGCAGACAGACAGACCTGGGCCCGCACCAAGGTGAAGAGCACTGTGGTCCCAGTGGCCTAGGAGGACAGGGATAAAAAGTAAACTCATGTAAGAGTGAGTGCTTGCTTCCGGTGGATGAGCAGGGTGTTATGCTGGAAAGCTGGCATCCTGGGTGACCTTGGGGAGTCAGCACATGATGTCCGATTGAGCAAGGGATCAGTATTTTATACACTTTCCTTCCCGCTTCTGAAAACATTGCCGCATAAAGAGATCCTCCTGTTTCCACCTCCCAGATGCCTAGATGACTGGAGTTACAGGTCGTGCCACTGCGCCTAATTTCTACCCATTCTTCCTTTCCTTTGCTGGAATACTAATTGTTTTCAATACCCACTGGTATACCACATCCGCTCTTTGAAAATCTGCAGTCCTAAAATAAGGCTGGCAAATGCAAATGTCTATACTACTGGGGCAAGTGAGTCAAAACAAGTACATAGTTACAAGAAAGCAGCTTCTCCCATGGCCCTCACTGGACACAGATAACTGACAACTAAATTGCAATTACCTCATGTCTCCTGTAGAGAATTCCCCCAGCATTCCCTATTTCTGAAGGAATTGTGGGGGTGGCTCAAGCCAGGCCCTTCACCTGCCAAGCTATACCAAATGCAACTGGTACAATGTGTTCACAGTCTTCCTGCTTGGAGTGGTTGAGGGAAATATGGCTCACTAAGAAATGAAACCCTGTTTCTTGCACCACAGGATAGAGCTTTCTCAGATCCAGAAACTACCAGCCACAGCACCCAGGATCCACTGGTCACTCAAGAGGCAATCAATGAGGTCTTCCCTGAAACAGATGAGTCCTTGAATCCCACTGAGCATACAGTACAGTCTTCTACCTGGCCAACAACCAATGTACCCACCAAAGATCCTGCTGACACTACCCAAGCCTTCCTCAAGCACACCCAACCAGCTGAGCAGCTGCCCACAGACTCTCCCAGCCAGCCCACTATGAATTCTTCCAGCCAGTCCCCCGTGGATCCTTCCAGCCAGCCTTCCACAACCACAGATTCTCCCACCCAGGCTCCTACTGAGCCCTTCTGTTCAGGGCCACTTGCTCAGTGCTCTGATTTAGACAGAGGGTCCTCAGAGGCCACACTGTCGGAGGCCTTGACAGATTTTTCTGTGAAGCTCTACCACGCCTTCTCAGCTACCAAGAAGGCTGAAACCAACATGGTCTTTTCCCCATTCAGCATCGCCAGCCTCCTCACCCAGGTCCTTCTTGGTAAGTCTCTGACTTCTGTCCAGGCTGTACATGGGACCCTTTCATAGGAATCACCCATCGCACATCTCTGCGAGGCTTTGTCTCTGGAAAGAAGCTGTCAAATGGGCTACATGGTGGGGTGGTAGGTCGTCATTCTTGAACGTTGCTTTACTTAATAATGATTTAATTAGGTACTATTGCTTATAAAACCCTATGGACTCACTACCAAGTGAGTCCCAGGAAAGGCGCAAAGCTGCACAGAGAAACCCTGTCTCGAAAAACCAAAAAAAAAAAAACCCTATGGCCTCATTAACAACATATAAAATAAGGTCCCAGTCACCAGTCATGGTTCAAAGGGTGGAAGGTGATAAGGGAGATGAAATCATCAGTGGTAGACCTAAGACAGCATCATGGTAATGCACTTTCTAACTATGCAGCCATGGGCAGTTCACTTAGGCGCTCTTGAGTGTGAGTTCTCAACAGTTAAGTAGAGATGGTGATATCTACCTCCAAAAGCCAAGAATCAGACAGTGTGGTGCCTTGACTCCCTGGGAGGTAAAAAACCTTCTCCCTTCATGAGAGTGATTCTGTTAGGAAAGGCAATGACAAATTACCACAGGCAGGAGAGAGAGAGAGAGAGAGAGAGAGAGAGAGAGAGAGAGAGAGAGAGAGAGAGAGAGAGAGAGAGAGAGATGACACTTTTCACACCCCAGCAAGGAAAATTCCAGGAAGGCTCCTCGAGACTGCACATACAAGATCCCTTCTCGTGACGTCCCCAAATCCTAACATCTTAGCATGAGATGCTGGTAGCGCCCAACTCCCCAGGTATGGCAACCAGACTGGCCTCAGACATCCTCGAAGTCTCCTGGGAGGTCCTTTCTAGTCAGTTGGTTCCCCTTCATTCTTTTCCGTTCAAATCCTGCATTCATCTTTCACTTTTTAGCTCTGTGGCCTTGAATGTATTAATAAGACAGTCTCGGAAACTCCAGGGGCCCCCTCTATATGGTAGGAAAGTGAGTATCCCATGGAAAAGGCTTGGTGATAATTTAATAAGATACCATAGGAGAAACATTAGACTCCCTGAACTAGAAGAAATGCTCTCAACAAATTTTAGCTGCTGTAGCAGAGAAGACGTGCACAGTAAGTGTTTAATAATGAAGAACATCCATCCTCTTTTGTAATAGTGATCAAATGCCTCTGCTTATAGGATGACCCTTTATAAATCCAAACCATCTAAGTAAGAGTTAATGTGGAGCAGTGGTTAGAAAGATGTGTGGGATTCACCAAGGTGGAAAACCAGGGAAGGAGAATATTGGAAGCCCTGGGGAAGTCTAATAGGACAATTCAGCACTGCCTACCACCTTCCTCCTGACACATGAACTGTCTTCCAGAATACAGTTCTGATGCTCTGAAACCCCGCTGTAGCGGGAAACAGCCTCCGTTCTAGCCAGTGCTTGACCCTAGTCCAAATAGTGGCTCTCTCCTTCCTCCCCCAAGAACTCTTCTCTCTCTGTGTCCTCTGTTGTAGGGGCTGGAGACAGCACCAAGAGCAACTTAGAGAGCGTCCTTTCCTACCCCACGGATTTTGCCTGTGTCCACCAGGCTCTGAAGGCCTTTTCACCCAAAGGTGTCACTTCTGTGTCGCAGATCTTCCACAGCCCAGGTGAGTGTCCAGGGCAGACAGTGAGCGTAGAGGATTTGGGAAGAGAAAGCCTGGAAAAGAGGAGGGAGGGACTGTACTGGGGTGAGTAAGAGCAGATGGGGGTCTCAGCAGGAGTTTCAGGTGGCTCCAGGAGCAGGACTCTCCTCCCTGTGAGACCTGGGCAAATCATTTGCATTTGTCTATTCTTTAGAATAAGAAAGTCCTACCTAACTGTTAACAGCAGGGCTGGAAACCTTTAGAGGTTAGAAGGTTAGAGTTAGAAGCATAAAATAAGCAAAAGATTTTTTTTGCTAAGTTTTGGGTCCAGGGAGTCTTCAGACTCATCCTTTGTACTTTTGTGTTTTATGAATTTGTTATCATTTACATGTTTGTGTTAGGTAGGTAATACCAGCAAGCAGTAGATAATAGTAAGAACCTTTACAAATAATCTGACACAGTTGTTTGTAAACTTGGTACCCTAGAGCTGACTATTTCTGCAGAGCTGCTCAGGAGTTGGTAGGGGTGGGGGATCAGAATGGCTGGTGGGGGTGGGAGGCACGCTTCCTATGAGAGGGAAGTGGACCGGCAGGATTCAGTGCTCCCGCCTGCCTCGCCAGAGCCCATTTATGACTTAGGAAATACAGCTCTGTTGCTTTCGAAGGTTAAAAATCACAGGTTTCATCTAGTCCCTCTCCAGTTCTCCTGCAGCCCAGGCCTCCTGCGTGCTGGGGTTACACACTACCACATGTGGCTTAATCCCTCTGTCCACTTTCTCTTTCACTTTTCCCTTCTTACTTTTGTAAGAAAACATTTTCTCACGTCTTTCCTTTCTTCTCTGAGGTACGTGGGATTAAACCCAGGGCTCTGTGCATGCTGCATGAGTGCTACCACTGAGCTACATTCTCAGCCCTCTTCCTCAGTTTACTTATTTCCTGAGACAGCCTCTCTTTGTAGCCTCAATTTTTTTTCTTTTCAAGACAGGGTTTCCCTGTATAACAGCTCTGGCTGTCCTGGAACTCTCTCTGTAGACCAGGCTGGCCTCTGCCTCTGAGTGCTGAGATTAAAGACATAGCCTCACTTTTGTGGCAGTCCTCTGGTCTAGCTTGTTGAGATTGTAGACATGTGCTATCATGCTTGGCTTTTTCTTTTCTTTTTAACTATGAAAGCCATATTTGTAGAAAACTGTGAAAATACAGGGAAGGAAAAATAAAGAAAAAGGGAAAGGAGATTGCCTAATATCTCAATCTCTGCCACTCACCCCCCTCGACGGGATCTCACTATGTAAACTAGGCTGGCCTTGACTTCACAGAGATCTCATGCCTCTGCCTCCCAAGCTTTTGGGTTAATGGCATGCTCCACCACACCTGGCATTAAAATGTATCTTTGTTTGTTTGTTTTTGTTTTTTGAGACAGGGTTTCTCTGTAGTTTTGGTGCCTGTCCTAGATCTCACTCTGTAAACCAGACTGGCCTCGAACTCATAGAAATCCACCTGGCTCTGCCTCCCAAGTGCTGGGATTAAAGGCATGGGCCACTGCTTCCTGGCTAAAATGTTTCTTTTTGACATGAATATATATATATATATATATATATATAGATAGATAGATAGATAGATAGATAGATAGATATAGATATGACTCAGAGGTTTCAATACATACTGCATTACTTACCTACTTACAACCAGTGATGTCTTTTGTTCAGTTAATGGACATTTCCACCACATTCAATATTTTAGGGCATCCTGCATCCTGCCCACCCACATCCATATTTCTGCAAAGGTTCTGAGTCTTAGGCCAAACCTGGGGAAATACTTTGATCTATTTAGTTCAGTAAAACAGTCTATTCTTCCAAGCACTCACATTTTCTCCAGTAGACTTGGGCCATGAGAGCAAAAGTCAGGAAGTCTTGTCATGAACTTCCACTGAGGCTTGAAAAGTAGGGTCTGTTCCTGCGGAATAAGGAAAGAACAGAGGGGAAAGTCAAGTGCAAGCAACATCACAGAAGGTTGTCTAGCCAAGCACTAGTCACCAGCAAGCAGAAGCAGCAGGGGTGCCTAGGAGTAGTTTTGCTGCTCTTAGTTCAGGATTTGTTTTCTTAAGTCCGATTTGCATATAATAGATTTGCACATAATAGAGGAGTGGGCTGGTCCTTGCTCCAGCAAAATGCTAGAGTGTTCACTGGAGTGAGCAGGAAGAACCACGGGAACCCCAACAGATGTGATGGTCTTTAATCTCTGCACTCAGGAGGCAGAGGCAGGCAGATCTCTGTCAGTTCCAGGCCAGTCTGGTCTACATGAGTTCTAGGCTAGCCAGAGCTACATGGTGAGACTCTGTCTCAGAAAAAAAAACAAACAAGCAAAACTAATAAAACACATGGGAAGTGTGCTCACTCCCAGACTTGCTCTTTGAACTTGGATTGGATTATTCAGAGGACTCATACTTGCCTCTCTTGTCCTGCCCCTCAGACCTGGCCATAAGGGACACCTATGTGAATGCCTCTCAGAGCCTGTATGGAAGCAGCCCCAGAGTCCTGGGCCCAGACAGTGAAGCTAACTTAGAACTCATCAACACCTGGGTGGCTGAGAACACCAACCACAAGATCAGCCAGCTGCTAGACAGCCTGCCCTCCGACACCCGCCTTGTCCTGCTGAACGCTGTCTACTTGAGTGGTAAGGAAAGCAGCAGGCAGGTAGTGTGCCTAGCGCGGTCCTGCCTCCATTCCATCCTGTCTTCACCAACCTCAGAGTTCCACAGCCACATTCCTCTGTGACCATCCTACCCCTTCCCTCACAGGGCCTTTAACACCTTTTTGTCCCTACCTGCGTTTCAGCCGCCCTTTCTTCCTTTAGCCAAGTGGAAGAAAACATTTGACGAAACAAAAATGAAGGCATCTTTCCTCTACAAAAACTCTGTGATTAAAGTACCCATGATGAGTAGCAAAAAGTACCCTATGGCCCATTTCAGCGACCAGACTTTGAAGGCCAGGGTAAGTTCTTGGCTCATTCCATTCCTGCTTCAGACATATCTGAGTGTCTTGACTTCCTTTCTGCAACGGCCTTATCAGTATGGAGTGCCTGCTTGTAAATTCCCCATTTCTGTTTCTTCCATCTAGTAGCCCCACGCTCTTTCTCCTTCTCCTCTCTCTAGTTTTGGAGGCAGGGAATTTTAGGCTGGAAGGCATGAGTCTAGACATGATTCTAAAGTTTCTTCATTCATCTCTACTGCATCAAATGGCAAAAAGTGAGTCTTGTTTTAATTCTGTGCATCTCTTTCTCTTAGCAGCCACCACTCTGGGTACACTGGTAGCTTGCTATGTCTTCTGTGTGTGGACACTTTGTACAGTATGCACATGCATAAGTATACTTATAGAGGTATTGCTGTGTAGGTGCAGATATGTGTTAAGTATATGTAAACACAGGTATTAAATTTATTTAATTTTTTTGTTGTGTTTTGTTTTTTTGAGACAAAGTTTCTCTGTGTGCTACTGGCCCTCCTGGAACTCGTTCTGTATACCAGGATGGCCTGGATCTCAGAGATCCACCTGCCTCTGCCTCCCAAGTATTGGGATTAAAGGTATGTGCCCCCACAACAGACTGAATTAAGTTCTTTAGCAGAAATTGAACAGTATAATTCTAGTGGTTAAGGAGGGAGAAAAAACAGAATATGGAGGCCAAGCTAGGCTTCCTGGTGCATGCCTTTAATCCTCGCTTTCTGGAGGCAGAGGCAGATGGTGTTCTGTGAGTTCAAGGCCAGCCTAGTCTACATATCAAGTTCCAAGACAGCCAAAGTTATATAATAGAAAGACCCTGCCAAAAAAAGGAGACAGCCGGGCGGCGGTGGTGGCGCATGCCTTAAATCCCAGCACTCGGGAGGCAGAGGCAGGCGGATCTCTGTGAGCTTGAGGCCAGCCTGGTCTACAGAGCAAGTTCCAGGACAGGCTCCAAAGCTACACAGAGAAATCCCATCTCAACAACAAAAAAAGAGAAGGGAAACAAAGAAAGAAAGGAAGGGAGGGAGGGTGGGAGGGAGGAGAGAGAGAGAGAGAGAGAGAGAGAGAGAGAGAGAGAGAGAGAGAGAGAGAGAGAAAGAAAGAAAGAAAGAAAGAAAGAAAGAAAGAAAGAAAGAAAGAAAGAAAGAAAGAAAGAAAAAAGAATATGGAGCCCAAAAGATTCTAGTTAGTAAATTCTCCCAGTCCAGTGCCTAAGCATTCCTGACCTTTCCACTGGGGTGTGTGTATCTCTGTGACTCTTGGGGAGGGTTTTTTGAGCCAGCTTTCCATATCCATGGTGTATCCATGGACAGAAAACATTTGAGAAAAAATTATACTGAACACGCACAAACTTTTTTCTTTCCATTATTCCCTAAACAAAAAGTATAGCAATTGTTTACATGGCAGTTTTGTATTCCGTATTGGAAGTAATCTAGAGATGATTTGAAATATAAAAGAAACAGGGCTTAAATAAATTACATCTCAAGCTCAGTTGGTAGAATGCTTGCCAGGCATACACAAAGCTGTAGGTTTGATCCCCGGCACCTCATATAACTAACTGTGGTGTTATGTATCTGTAATCCTAGCATGTAGGAGGTGAAGGCAGGGGGATCAAAAGTTTGGGATCAGCCGGGTGGTGGTGGCTCACCCCTTTAATCCCAGCACTTAGGAGGCAGACAGATGTCTGTGAGTTCAAGGCTAACCTGGTCTATGAAGCAAGTTTCAGGAAAAACAGGGGGTAGGGGAGGGGGTAAGGAGGAGGAGGAAGGAGGAGGAGGAAGGAGGAGGAGGAGGAGGAAGGAGGAGGAGGAGGAGGAGGGAGGAGGAGGAGGAGGAGGAGGAGGAGGAGGAGGAGGAAGAAGAAGAAGAAGAAGAAGAAGAAGAAGAAGAAGAAGAAGAAGAAGAAGAAGAAGAAGAAGAAGAAGAAGAAGAAGAAGAAGAAGAAGAAGAAGAAGAAGAAGTTGTTGTTCAGGGTCATCCTCTGTTAGTTTGAACCCATCCTGGGTTGCATAAGACCCTATTTAAGGAAGGGAGAGAGGGAGGGAAAACCCACCCCCCTTCTCTGTTATTACAAAGCTAGTCAGGGTATGATCCAAAACTTGTGCTCATTCTTCCGGTTCTCACCAGGACCAGCGCACTTCAGTCTGACCAACTGGCATCCCCATTTCATGGCACAGCATGGTAGTCAGGCCTGGCTGGTGCTTATTGAATCAGTACACACTGAAAGACAGTCTTGGGGCACAGGGGCCGGGGGGGAGGAGAGGAAAGAGCTTGGATTGGAAGAGCTAATACGGAGTATCCCTGACTCCCTAGGTGGGGCAGCTACAGCTCTCTCAGAACCTGAGCTTTGTGATCATGGTGCCCCGGAGCCAGAAGCACAGACTTGAAGATATGGAAGAGGCACTCACCCCCACTGTCTTCAAGGCCATCATGAAGAAGCTGGAGCTGTCTAGATACCAGCCCACTTACCTGATGATGCCCCGAATCAAAGTAAAGAGCAGCCAAGACATGCTGTCCATCCTGGAGAAAATGGGTGAGCCCTGGCCGCTTCAGGTTACTCCCGGGTCACGAGGGAGAGGGGCAAGGTGGTACTAAAACGTTGCTCTCCTTCTAGAGTGCTTTTCTTCACTTGTAACATAAGCTTACTGCTCAACTGTAGGAGTTGCTTTAGCCCGTGAAGTCACTGAGAAAACTGAAACTCAGAAACTCCCCGTGACTTGCCCAAAGTTTGCATGTCTTACCTTTGAACTAGTTAGAGTCAAACCAGAAGACCAGTCCAGATCTCCAGCTCTCTGGATATTTCTACTGGGGTTCACTGGAACAGGAGACCCTGATGGGCTGTGGACATTCACTTCCTGGCCACATCCACTAGTCAACCACCGCACAGAATAAGCTTAAATCCATCTAGATAGGAGTCTGGGGTTTCTGAGTTTTGGGGAGACTTTAGAAGCACCATTTTCTAACCTTTGACTTTATCTCTAGCTAGATCTGTCACTCATTTCCTGTTCTGACCACCTAATATATAATCTGATTTTCTAAAACCAGGATCAGAAACCAAATAATAGACTAAAAGATACACCAAGTGCTCCTGCTGCTGAGGAATTGCAAGGGCTTTAGGAGCAGAGATCAAAAACCAAATATTAGCTGGGTAGTGTTAGAACAAGCCTTTAATCCCAGCCCTTGGGAGGCAGAGGCAGGAGGATCTCTGTGAGTTTGAGGCCAGCCTGGTCTACAGAGAGAGTTCTGCCAGGGCAGTTACACAGAGAACCCCTGTCTCAAAAAACCAGAACCAAAAAAAAAAAACCTCAAATACTAAAACAAAATATGCTGCCAGCACATCTGTTGCTAAGGAAATGTTAAGGTTTTAGGAGTTCTTTGTCAGAAATTTAGGGCAGAGACCAGAATACATTTCTTACCAGCATTATACTCTCCTATGATCTCATTTTATAGCATATTGTCCATCTCTATTTATTTCCCAAAGTCCTTGGAGACAAGGAAGGAATATGTCATTTTTTCAGGGGAGAGTTGGCGGTGGGCAGAGAATGGTGGTTGGGTCCGCTAACGGGTTCCCACTTACAAGACCAGGAGGCATGGTGTAGGGTCTGAGAAGGGAAAGACAAGAAGAATTTGAGACTAACCTAGGAAATTTAAGAGCAGAATCTACACCCACCAAGAGTTTCCTGCTGATCTCTCGTTGGTTGGTTTGTTGTTCTGAGACAAGATTTCTCTGTGTAGCCCTGGCTGTCCTGGAACTTGGGTTGTAGACCAGGCTGGCCTCGAACTCACAAGAGATCCACCTGCTTCTGCCTCCCAAGTGCTGGGATTAAAGGTGTGCACCACCACTGGATTCCTGCTGATCTCTGTTTTTTTTTTTTTCTCTTGTTTTGCCCTAGAATTCTTTGACTTCACTTACGATCTCAACCTGTGTGGGCTGACTGAGGACCCAGATCTTCAGGTGTCTGCCATGAAGCACCAGACGGTGCTGGAGCTAACAGAGACAGGTGTGGAGGCAGCTGCAGCCTCTGCTGTCTCTGTGGCCCGAAACTTAATCATCTTTGAGGTGCAGCAACCCTTCCTCTTCCTGCTCTGGGACCAGCAACACAAGTTCCCAGTCTTCATGGGCCGGGTCTACGACCCCAGGGCCTGAGACAGGCAGGAGTCGGGCTTGAGTAAGCCCTGCCACCCAGGCTTCAGCTCATCCAGTTATTGCCTTGCCACTGCCTTCCCTAGCCACTTCCAGCCTTAGGATCTGGCAGAGGGAACTGTTCTCACCCACCAGCCCGATGGCATCGGCATGCTCTCTAAACCAGTTTTTGCCGCTTGATGGTTCAGGTTTACCAGACTCAACAAATAAAACTTGCAGACATTCCTTCTCTTGCTTGCCTATGGGTATTAGTTGCCTCGATGTCAGTAAACAATTACCGTGCTTCCTGCATCAGCAACTTACTACTGTGGAATAAGCCACTCTAAACTTAGTGGCTTAAAACCAGCGACCATTTATTATTTCCCCCTCCGTGGCAGGATTGGCCAGTGGTCTTGCTGACCTGACTAGCTCAGCTTCCCTGGGCATATGAAAGCGTCTTCCATAGTTAGCGGGTTGGTTGGGGGATGACTGGTCTTTGATGGCCTTGCGTCACACTTTTCGACACTCATCTACATGTCTCTTATGTCCTGCTGCCAGGATGACCTCTGTTCTGAGAACACCGCCTCTTTCTCTCATGTCTGCCTATATCAAGTTTACCATTTTCCATCAGCAATTGGCATGGTGAAATCTAGATTTAGAGTGAAAAGCCACTATGAAGTTATGGGGTAGAGAGCCATTAACTGAGGGCCACAAATGCGATTTATCTGCCACAATCCTTATCTTGATTATTTATGTGCAAAAAAAAAAAAATGTAGCACTAGGTGCTGCAGAGATAGCTCAGTGGTAAAGAGCATTTGCTGTCCCTCCAGAAGACCTGGGTTCAATTCCCAGCATCCACAGCAACTCATAACTCTTTGCAATTTCAGTTCCAGGACACCTGATACCCTTCCCCCTCCACAAGTACTAGATATGTACATGGTGTACAGACCTACATGCAGGGAAACCAACAACACATTAAACATAAAAAATAAATTAAAAATGTGGCAATAGCAATAGTAACAAGCAAGGTGGGGAATAATCATAGGCATTCTGCTAAGAGTTTTGCAGACATTTAATTACTGCAATAACTTTGCATGGGAGCTGGGCGGCGGTGGTGCACGCCTGTAATCCTAGCACTCTGGAGGCAGAGCCAAGCAGATCTCTGTGAGTTCGAGGCTAGCCTGGTCTACAGAGCAAGATCCAGGACAGGCACCAAAACTACACATAAAAATCCTGTCTCAAAATAATAATAATAATAATAATAATAACTTTGCATGGCTAACTCAGGCTGTTCAAAGTCTTTTTTGGAAAGGTTTTCTCCTGGGCGCTGTGGCTCAAACCTGTAATTCTAACACTCTGTAGGCTAAGGCAGGAGGAACACAAATTGGAGGATATCCTGGGCTACATAACAAGACTGTCTAAAACAAAAAAAACAACAACAAAATGTTTTCATCTCTGCCTCCAAATTTTTTTTTAGGCTGTACTCATGAATTCCCTGATGCTTCAGTTCTCTCCTCTTCCTGTGTTCCTCTTCCTCCTTCTCCCTCCTCACCCGTCTCTTTGCTGCTGCCTCATCGTTCCTTCTCTATTTCTCTCCACCCCTCAATATGTCTCACACTCTCCTCCCTCTCTCCCTTCTTTCCTACTTAAAGCACAGCCAGCCTCAAGCGTGCAGACCACAGTTCCTTGATTTAACCCATCAGCTTCTCTTCCTGATGAGGTGAAGGATCTAGCCTGGTCCCAGCCTCCCCTCCCCAGCTCTGTCCACACACACTCCAGACCTCAGGTTCCCATCCTTAGTAGCCTAGAGGTAGTGTATTCCCTGGTGCCTGCGCATGAAACCATCACCCCACAGACATCCATTGAGCATCTCCCACACATGGTGAAGATTTAATTTTCAAAAAGGCTTATCCCAGAGGTTAAGCCAGGCTGCTTGAGATGGTTCTGGGTATGGAAGTCTCCCTGTAGCGGATGGCCAAGATATATACACACAAACCACTGTTGCCCCACATTCCAGGAACTTCTGCTGTCTGCAAAATCTGCCTTCTCCATCCCTCCCTCCCAGAAAATCTTGCGTAAGAAGCTGAGACTCTTGGGAAGAAGGTGACAGAGTAAAATGTCACCTAACCTAACCGGGTACTGTACCCAGGCTTGAAGCTCTTGGTCCGTTGGGCGTGTCCCTTTCTCCATGGTGCTGAGCTGGGGGGCCAGGCTCATGGCTAAATGCAGGATGTGAGGTCACCAAGGTTCCAGTAACTCTTGGCAGGATAAGCTTAGCATGGGTTTTGGTAGCTGTCTTAGGTTTTTTTTTTTTTTTGGGGGGGGGGGTTGTTTTGTTTTGTTTTCCCAGATAGGGTTTCTCTGTGTGGCCAGAACTCATGCTGTAAACCAGGCTGGCCTCGAACTCAGAGATCTGCCTGCAGTGCTGGGATTAAAGTCATGTGCCGCCACCACCCAGCACTATTAGTTACGTTTCTATTGTCCTGATAAAACACCATGGTGAAGGCAACCTTCCAGGGCTCCCAGTTCCAGAGAGTTAGAGTCCATGACTCTCATGGTGGGGAGCATGGCAGCAGGCAGGCATGGCTCTGGAGCTGAAGCTGAGAGCTTTCATTTGATCCAAAGTATGAGGGAGGGGTGGGGAGGAGATACTGCAAGCCGCAGAAAAACGTAATGGAATTTAGCTACTATCACAAAAACTACTACTTGGAAAGGTCAAGGACTTTTCCGAAGGTCAAGCCGTGGCTTAAGAAGTCTTGGTGATATTTTAGCTTTTGTATATAATATATATATTAGCCGATTCCTGCAATGATTTTCTTGTATGCTATATATGCTTCCAAGAACTCATAACAGTGTATTTTATCTGAAATACCTAAAAGCATCCAAGGCCAAACAATCTCATGAATTAAGGTAAATTAATCTCAGACCTTCCTTTCTTATACAGCCTTAGTGGTATTTATACTAACATTATAGACTCCTAACATTTTACCTAACCACCTCTAGGAATGTAGTTTGAGCACACAAATTCCCTCTTTCTGGTATATTAACTGATTTTAGCTCTTAATTGACCTCCTCCTTTACCACTCCCTTTTTGGGTTATAAAAGCAAGCCTGATGGTCACTGCCTGAGGAAAACTCTTGTCTGCCTTTATGACCCTGTAAGAATTCAAGCCTGGTGACCTTGCTTTAGCTAGAGCACTGCTATTGCATGGGTATATAACTAAACCTCAGAGACTGGGAGAGAATTTTGACTGGGGAACTAGATGGAGAACTAGAAGAATAAGATGGAAGATGAGGAAGAGCCAGATGGGAAAGAACGAGATGGGTGAGAACGAGATGAGAAAGACCAAGATGGGGCAGAACTAAGATAAGAGAATTAAGATAAGCCGGGCGGTGGTGGCACACGCCTTTAATCCCAGCACTCGGGAGGCAGAGGCCTGCGGATCTCTGTGAGTTCGAGGCCAGCCTGGGCTACTAAGTGAGTTCCAGGAAAGGCGCAAAGCTACACAGAGAAACCCTGTCTCGAAAAACCAAAAAAAAAAAAAAGAGAGAGAGAATTAAGATAGAACATAGAAGGGACAGCAGACAAATGTGGAGAGAAATCAGGCAAGAAAGGAGCCAGGCACAAGAACAGAACTGTAGCTGTGTAGATAGAATTTTATCCCAGAAGAATAAAGTAGACAGACTAAGAGCTTGGTGTACTTAGATTCTTTTCCCGAAAATAATTTGCGCTGTTCATAGCTTCTCTTCTGGGCCCCTGGGAAGAAGATTATTAAGACTGGACCATAATAATTTGAGAGAGAGAGAGAGAGAGAGAGAGAGAGAGAGAGAGAGAGAGAGAGAGAGAGAGAGAGAGAGAACGAGAACTAGCTGGGAATAGTATAGGCTTTTTAAATCTCATAGCCCACCCCCAGTGACAGAGCTCTTCCGACAAGTCACAAACACACCTCCTAATCCTTCCCAAACAGTTCCATCAACTGGGGACTAAATATCCAAACATAAGAGCCTATAGGGCCCATTCTCATTCAAACTATCACAGTAGCCAACAAAGTTATTCCTGAAAGCTGGGACTTTGGTTCCTGTAATTTTTCTGATTTGTGCATGCTCTGGTTGACATCAAAGCATCCTTGGTGGGAGAAAAAATGACCTGGAGGAATAATCATTGCTTATCTTTTACCTACACGACTTATATTCACCTACACAACTCTGTCCTGGTCCTCAGACTGACCTTCAGTTTCTGGCTCCTCATGCAGGCCTGGCAAAGCCAAGCAAAGCCTCAGAATGTTGAGCCACATCTTTCTTGTAGCTTGTCTTCTAGTCAAGGCCAAGAACCAAACAAGAGTCACCCCCAACTTATCCTAAGATTAGATATCCCTGCTTCATACCATGCTTCACTGTCCAAGAGCTGTTGGCATGTCCCTCTTTCTGTACAAGTGTGGACTGTGTGAGGAGGTTTGACCTTGCTGGGCTCGCATAAACTCTTGCACAGATTTTGGTACATGATGATGTGGTGATATATTGTGTACCATAATAAAATTTGCATGAAGATCAGAGAACAGAACAAGCCACTAGATTAAACATAGATGCCAGACAGTGGTGGCACACACCTTTAATCCTAGCACTCCAGAGGTAGAGATCCATCTGGATCTCTGTGAGTTCAAAGCCAACCTGGATTACATGAGAATGACTCAGTGTAAGAGAGAAAGAGAGCCAGGCAGTGGTGGCACACACCTTTAATCCCAGCACTTGAGATCTCATGCCTTTGCTTGGGAAGCACACATGCCTTTAATCCCAGCACTAAGAAGGAAGTGATATGGCTGGACAGAGAAAGGTATATAAGGTGTGAGGAGACAGGAACTAAAGCTTTTTGGCTGGAGGTGCTTTTGGCTGAAGAAGCCCCTTTTGGCTAGAAAGCTTTTTCAGGCTGAGTAATCCGAGAGGTAAGACATGGCTATGGTTTGTTCCTTTGTCTCTCTGATCTGGGTTTTCAATATAAGACCATTCAGCAATTTGAGCCTAGGAGGCATCAATTTGAGCAATTTGATGATGAGGAATCACCTAGTCAGCTGTTGCACATAATCTCACTTTCATGGAGGCTAGTCTGGATTTATCCATGCGGAGGTTGCAGACATTCTAGAAAACAAACAGGTATACAAGGTCTCTCTCTCAATCTCTCTCTCTCTCTCTCTCTCTCTCTCTCTCTCTCTCTCTCTCTCTCTCTCTCTCTCTCAATAGGGTTTCTCTCTG